GTTGTAATTATAAATTTTTTTTATTATTTTAAAAATATATAAATATTAATAAAAATATATAAAAAAATTAATTATAACTAATTGAAAAACAATAATTTTACGTTTTAAATAATATATTGCGTGAAAAGAGTCTATATAAACTATAAAAAAAAACGAAGCTTAAGTTTAAAATATCATAAGTATCCCTTTGTTATTCTAGAGCAAAAAATGAAATCAAAATAACAAGAGTCATATTAAAATAAAAGCATTTAATGTTCTTTCCAAATAAAAAGTAGAACACCCAATTAAAAACACCTTTATTAATTACTTTTTTAATCTTAAAATAATTATTATCTTTTAATTTTTTTAAAAAGGATGAAAAAAAAAAAATCTCACCATACCAGAAATACTGGTAAATAGAGAATTTCTCATGTCATTATTTATTTAATAGACAAAATGTTTGCTCTAAAATACCTGAATTCACATACCAGCCTACCTTAAAGCAAAAAAAAAAATCAACTGCAAGTATTTAGCACATGTGAAAGATCAATTCATCTAGAGAAAAAGCAATAAAGATGATAAGGTCCGTAAATGGAGCAAATTGCATCCAAAAAACACAGTAAAAACAAATTGACAACCATGAACCATTAATTAAAGGATTCAAAATACATACCATGCCTTAGTTGTCCAAGAAGTAGCCTTACCCACCTCCATTGCCCACGGAAACAACTCTCCCTTCTCTCCACCTGCCACCATGAACAGGCCAATAACATTGATTGGTGAACAGGCTATTGAAGTCCCTATTCCTCTCCTCTCTCATTCAATTCCCTCTCGCACTCATCCCCGTTTCCTTCTCCTTTTCTGCCTCTCATTAGATCTCAAATCCTTCCTTCTCTCCATTCAAATAGACCAGAAAAACCCACACAGAACCCAATTGCCTAACCCCATACCTCACCATCTAATCGCACTGTTTCTGGGCTTCCTCTTTTCATCCCACAAATCATCATCTTCCATGCTTGAATCATCCTAAAGCAAAAAGAAAAAAATAACAACAATCACATATATAGAGAATGAAGACATAACAGGTTATTATGAAAGACAAATAAGGAACATAATGCAGCTTAAAGTATAGTTTTAACATCTTAGTATCTTGTAACTATCTAAATAAGGAACATACCACAAAAACATGAGAGCTTTGACATGGGAACAACTCAAAAAAAATCACCTAGAGGTAAAAGGTCAACCCCTTTCCTTTCTTACACCAATCTTTCTCCAACCAATCCTAAAATACTCGACAATACTAAAAATATAAAATAAAGAACATATTACATTGCAAGTTCTACAATTAACATCCTACAATACCTTTCCTTCTCATTTTTCTGTTCATTTTACTTCCTCTCCAGCTCTGTGCATGATCTTCCATCCCATTTTTCTTAATCAACTATC